ACTGTGTTTAGAAACATAGGATGTAAAAGCACAGGACTACTTGCACAGCAAGTCTGGAGAGAAGGCATTCATGTCCACAGCCTGGGGCAGTATTTCTGCTGAGGTACTTTAGAACTATCTATCACTCAATGACACAGAGAAGAGCAAAAAAGCTAATTCTCTAGAAAGTGAACTTACAGATATGTATTTCAATTTAAAAAATAGTTTCTGTGTTAATGACAGCCTTTTGTCGAGAGCTATGAGCTTGCTTAAAGCTACTATGCTCTCCAAATAGTTCTGTTTTGCATACAGTCACCATTAAAATTTCAAAACAGCTTCTGAGCAAAAGTGATTGTGCTTAAAAACTTGGTGTATTATGCTACGCTGCTAAGATTAACATCCAAAAGTGGCAGAAATTCAAGGAGTGTGTGCTGCTCACTGCTACTAAGCAAAAGTAACAGAAATGGCAGCAAAGTTTAATCCTGCCCTCCCTAGTGAAATCAGGAGTCGGGCAGAAAATCACAAAACAAATAGATGGTGTTAATACCTTTTTTTTGACCCTTCCTTCAACTAAAACATCTCTGGCCATTAGTTTACATTCAGCATAAAGGGTACCTGCCTAAAGAAGCTTATTTCAGAGATGCCCCATACACTACTTGCCAATAGATAGAAATCTATGTCCCCTGCCTAATAACTAAATACAACAGTTATTTCTTACCACCGCTGGCCACCAAAGCCTCGGGAGGCTGACTCACAGGCAGAGGGAACCTATCAGCAACCTCACCGTGCTGCTCCACAAGGCATTAAACAGCAAAGACTGAGTCACACGCGTGATCCAATGCATAGGAAAGCCCCATCCACCAGCAGTGGCACCTCGCTGCTGCCAAACCTGGCCTGTCAAAACAGAGGAAAGCAGCATTTGACTGACTCGCATTCTGCACTGTCTTTGACACGCCACATGTAAAACTGCTGTCAGGAAGCATATAATCCTCTGCAGTGGAAACTCATCCCTGCAAAGCGTGAGGCCCTGCTCTCCGAGCTGCTCTGGGAAGAGGAGGCGAGCAGGTTGGATGCCAGGGGAACCAGAAGAACAGAGTGCTCACGAGGCAGCTCTGCAGGGCTGCCCCAGCCCATCTCACAAGTAGGACCGGGCTGCTGGGTGGGCAGCAGGCCCCATACACCCAGAGCCAGCAGCACGCTGACGGATGTCAGTTTAAGCACGAAGCAGCAGATCCAGGCACACAGATTCCTCCTCAGAACAATGTTAAACCACTTTCAGATTGAATCAGCATTCTATCATGTAGCATGTAAAAGCAATTCCAGCAGTTCATTACTTAATCATAAATGAATTTCAATTGGTCGCTGGACACATCACATGGAATTCCAGTTTCAAACAGAAGAAAAATGAAAGGTTGCATCACCCTTGCCTGTTTACATCTATGGCTGCTGACAGCCTTTGCTATCTCCTGCAGCACGACAGCAAAACCTGTGTGCAACACAACTAAAGAGGCCACCAGTCCTCTCCTGATTTCACATCTCCTGCCCTACATTTCAGGAAGCAATCACTCCGGAGCGGTTGTCCCCTCCCTGATCGCAGGCCCCTCATCAATCTCTGCTTTGAGTGGTCAAATGATGTTGCAACCATCGTCCGGATTATTTTAGAAACAGGAAAGCGTGGGCTTTATGAAAAGGGGCTGCTGGTTTCCCTAGAACTAGCTTCTGAGTTAACGCACGGCTCCTAGGTACCACGGCACAGATATCATTTATAAATATCAGCAGATCCTTTTATGTTCCGAATATGAAGTGCCTTTCAAATACTTCTGGATTTTATTACTTTATGACTGCTTTACAAATATGCCCCTGGCCCATAGATGTACACATTTGCCTTCAAAGAACCAATTTAGTTGTTAAATCTCTTGTACATATGTTGTACTTTCCCTAAGGCTATGCAATGAAACGCTCTTTTTGGATTTTTAAACCCAGAACTCTTTAATACCACTCACAGACTGCTCCTCCCCTCACAAACGAATCTCTCGTATTTGGAAGATTTCCCAACTTTACATTTGAAGCATTCCTAAGTCTGTTAACTCGTAAAACCAGGACTTTTTCCATCTTACTCAACAGTCCCTATAAATGATGCAGCACCTTGCCTCGGCTCAGGGAAAGCAGTGACAGAGCACACATCACCTCTGAAAAGAGGAGACGGAGCCCTACACATCCTTCATGCTCATTAGCTCTCTGCTTTGGTTTCTATTCTGCTCAGTTTTTTTTCCTCCTGAAAAACAAAATATGCTGATTACACAGCCTTCAAAAAATATAATTAAAAAAAAAAAGATACAGCTGTGACCAATGACAAAATGAAACTTCCTTTTAGAGTAAAAGTCCTGGCTATTTTCTCATTTTAAGTACAAAACAGGAAAGCAGAGAAACAAATGTTACATCTCACTGAACAGCCTGGCTACTCCTCACTCAGAACTTAGCTCAGGTTATTCTTTGGTCTGCAGCTTTGTAAAATCTTAATTGAAATAACTGTTGGAGCAAACTTTGTCTCATGGTATCACTTCAATGCTGGCAGGCAGAATATATCCCGTGAGGGGTCAAAGGTGTGGAAAAACAAACAGAGCAGCAATCTGAGGAGATGGAGGGGAGATAAAGATTTGTCTCTGCATTTTTCAAGCAGGGAAAACCACCCAGACTTCTGCATGGTTTCTTCCCACTTACTGCAGCCACTTCTGGCAACCTCTGGGGTGGGGGGGAAAAAAAGAAAAGCTACTTCAGACAACTTTTTTTCTAGTTACCTGCATACAAACACTGATAAACGTGCCACTTCTGGTGCTTGGATTAGATGATCTCAGAGCTCTTCTCCAACCTTAATGATTCTATGAAATGTCCAGTATGCCTCACTGGTCTCATAACTCAAAGGGAATGAGCAGAATGTGTCCAGCATATTTTAGTCATAAACTCTTCATGTGAACTTGTATTTTACATTAGCTAGATAAAAAACCAATCAGAGACAAAATAAGCCCAACCTTGCAATGGTGACTAAAACTGAATGCTTCCTCTTTGTCTCCTTGGCATTCCACCTTGTACAATCCTGGCAAATGGGCAGATATCAGAGGCTGGATCCCATCCCTCAGGAGCTGTTGGAGTTCAGCATCCACTGGATGAAAAAGTCAACCCTGCTTTTCACATTTTAGTCCTTTCTTCCTGCTGTTTCCAGATACTCTCTACCTCAACCTACCTCAATCAAGTACCCTATGATTACATTAAACAAGGCATCCCAAAGATTGCTAGGCACAATCTATTCAAGAGGTGGACTTGCTTTTAAATGCCGTGCAAGCCACGTGCATACCGGTGTGAAAAAAAACATTATTTAGGTATTAATGATCCCAATAAATTAAGCCAGGTGCAATTCCTCATTCTCCCAGGTGCAGACACCACTAACAGCAGCTCATCTGGATTTTAATGATAAGCACTCCTGGTAAGTGAAACACACAGCTTACTTTTTCTCTTTTACTTAGGGCTATCTCCCTTTCCATTCAGATGCTCATATTGAAAATGCTCAGCGGTGCCATACCCCATGGACTCAGTAAGTGGCTGAAACAGCCTAGCCACAACAACCTAGCAGTGCCTTACAGGTATCAGGCCAGGTGCCAGGCAGTGAGAGCTCCTGCTCATCAAATCAAGGCTGCCTCGGCACATCAGCGAATGCTGCCTAGAGTAATGTGCACCCCTGGGACTGTGGGCAAGCCTCGTCTCCACCTCAGTGACAAAATGTGCAGCAGCAACTTAGCTCAGAGCACTGTAAATGGCACGAGGGGACCACACGTTTAACACTGACCGTGGGAGTTCAATATAAAGCACTGCTTCAGGCAGGCAGTGCTCTGCACCCCGAGTGAAGGTATGAGAAGGCATCTACAGAGCCAGAAACTGAAATTCGAGCTAGAAAATGTTAATTCAAGCCCTGATAGGCTTCCTACGTGTTTTGCTGTACGCAGCAGAGACTCGAGGCTTGCTCTGCTTAAAGCTGAAGCTCTAGGAGGCTCATTTAAAACCCAAACTCTCGGTTCAAGACTTAAAGCAGGAGAAGCACATCAGCTGACCCGGAGCTGCAGGGCAGCGCCTGGGGTCGTTCCATGCCGGGACGCTCCAGAGCAAGGCCTCGTCCTGCTGTCACCCACCGCCATTTCGTGGGGTTAGCAAGGGGCAAACACACAGCCCCGTGACGGAAAAACACGTATCTGTGTGGGCACGGGGCTGGTGTGCGCTGTGGCTAAGAGTCAACCCCGTCCGTCACGGCAGCCCTGTCGCGTACGCGTCCCGAAAGCACACAGGTGTGCAGGCGGCACGGAGCAGCGCCACGCCGCCCTCGCCCCGCTTCAGCCGCCCGGCACCGGGGGGGACTCAACAGCCGGCCCTCCCCCCACGGCTTCCTGGGGAGTCTGGGGGCATTTTGTGGGTCCAGCACAGTTCCTCCCCGCCGCCGGGTTGAGCCGCAGACGTTCGCCTTAAAAGGGCAAAATATCTGCGGAGAAACGGCGGCGGGAAGGGGGAGTCGGGAAGAGGGTCCCGGGGCGGCGGTGGTGGGGGGGCTGAGCCACAGCCGCCCTTCCCTCCATCCATCCATCCATCCATCCCTAGCGGGGCGGTTGCCAGGAGACGGCGGGGCACAGCAGGGCAGGGCGAGGCGGCGGAGTCCCGCCGTGCCGGGGCAGCGAGCGGCCCCGCGGAGAGCGATGGGGAGCGGCCGGAGCGCGGCAGCGGCGCGGCTTCGGTATCTTTGATAGGAAAGAGTCCGGTGCCGCTCCGCGGCAGGAGGCAGCGCCCGCCAGGTGCCGCACGTGGCCGCGTCCCGGAGCCGGGCGCGAATAAAGAGCTGCGGTAACGGCGGAAAAAGCCCGGAGGACGGCAGCCGCCCCGGCACCGCGCGCTGCCCGGCCCCTCCCGCAGCCCCGCCGCTCGCCGCGCCCTCCGCTCGCAACTTTCCCACCGCCGCGGGCGGGCGGGCGGGCGCTGCTTACTGCGGGCTCTTGGGGTAGAAGGGGAGCGTGACGTGGCTGAGGTCCTGGATGTCGAAGGCGGTGGGCTCGGCCGAGATCGCCTGCCGCTTGGTCCGCTGCTCGCCCTGCAGGCTGCGGGCGCTCTGCTGCTGCGCCTGCCGCGTGGCGGGCCGGATCACCGAGCGGTACTTGTCCAGCTCGTTCTGCAGCTTCTGGATCAGCTCGTCCTTCTGGTCCAGCTCCAGCTCCAGCTCGTCGATCAGCGCATCCCGCTGCCGCAGCTCCTCGATCTTCTCCTGCAGCGCGTACTGTAAATCCCGCAACGTGCCCATGCTCCCCGCTCGCCCCGAGCTTCTCCCGGCAACTTTCCACCGGGAGCCACCCGGCGCTCGGCCCGACTTCCCCGCGCCCCCCTCCGGCCCGGGGCCCCTCGCCCGGCCCCCCCGCGGCCCCGGAGCCGGCTCGGCGCGGGGCGCTCCCGATCCGCCTGCGCCCGGCGAGGCTGCGAGGCGGCGGGAGGCAGCTCGCACGCGCTGGCGGGCGGGCGGCGGGGCGGAGGGAGGCGGCGGGCGGGCGGGCAGGGGCGAGCGCGCCGAGGCAGTGCCGCCTGACGGGGCCGGGGGCAGCTCCGGGGGCTGCGGGGGGAGCCCCCGCCGCGGGCCCCCCCTCCCCGGCCTCGGCTGGCAGGGGGAGGCCGCCCGGAGAGCCCGGCCCCGGGGCGGCAGCGGCTGGGCGGGTCCCCGCCTCGCGGCGGGCGCTCACCTCTGAGCCCTCCCCTCGCGCTTCGCCGCCGTACTTTTCTTTGTTAATAACTGCGGAATCGGGGCTTTTCGCGCCCGGTGGCGCGGCTCCCGCTCAGCCGGGCTGTTTCGATGGTGGAACGGCCCGGTCGGTGGGGCGTGTGAGACTCAGAGCGCTAAAATAAGTTGAAGTCAGGTCCCGCGTAGCCCCGCTGCTTCCACAAAAGCCGGCTTCTGCCATCCCAAACCCACCAGGCACCGCTGCACGCCAGGCTCTGCCCGTGCCGTGCCGCTCGCGGGGCCACGTTGGCACCAAGCGGCTCCGTTCGTCTCTGTGTGCGGAGGGAACAGCTGGGCACCATGACGGCGGGGCACCCAGGCCTCAGAGAGGAGGGGGCCACGGGCAAACCGTGCTGGGCTTTCTGGTAGCGCTGCGCCACGGGGAGGAATCGGGTGAAATCCATGCAGCCCAGCTGGAGCGAGCCTAGGCCCGGCCTGAGGCAGCGTGACTGGGCCGCAGTTTCCTTCCCAGAAGGTTGGTGTGGGGAGGAGAGGGTAAGGATGCAGCCATGGATGGGTTCTGCAGTGCGTGGTACCTACGTGGCAGCTGGCAATGCCAACCTCCTTGTAGGGCGTGAGCGGGCAGCAGGAGAGATCCAGACAGAATCACAGAATCATAGGGGTTGGAAGGGACCTCCAGAGATCATCGAGTCCAACCCCCCTGCCAAAGCAGGTTCCGTACACCAGACAGTGTTTATGGAGCTGTTTTGCTCTTTTTAGCGTCGCGTAGCAGCACTTGGTTGTATCCGAAGTTCCAGCTTTGACCCTGAAGATGGTCTTTATGAAATTAAACAATCAAACAAGAATGGACACGGATGGCAGCTACTCCCCGTTCAGCACTGCTGCTTGAAAGGGCCTGGGCTCTGCTCAGAAACCTGGAGTGGTGCTCTGCAGGTTGGCCAACACACTTGGTACCTCCCACATTGTGCAAGATGCACATGCAAAAATAATTTATAAAAAAGGTTCTGCAAAATGCTGCTTCTTGACACTCATGTGCCAGGCACAAAAGCAGAGTTCCCTGGCCAAAGTTCCCATGTGTTGCCACCACGCTTTAAGTTCAGGCAGTGCTTTTTGTACAGCCCCTCCATTGCAATCTTCTGTAGCTCACTGGGAACAAAAGTACCAAGTATCTCCTGAACATTTCCATTTTAAATATGACTGGTGTTAAATAGATGCACGTGTGCTGCCTGCAAACTAGAAGTCAATGATAAAAAAAAATGTAATAGCATGGAACCAGTGTGTTTACAGTCTTACTGTTTTCCTCCCCCCAGAAGCCCCCTGACCAGGAAGATGCGATACAGTTAGCTGAAGCCCACCAGGTTCCCAGAGAACAACAGCCCTAGGGGAAACTCATGCATAATTTCTCAATGACAAGCAGCAAAGCCACTCTGCTCAGTTCTTACTGGAGGTGCACAGCCTGCAACTGAGACAACATTACAGAGATAAGAAAGGATGCAGAGAAAAACATGAGAAATTATGAGAAATAAAACTGGCAAGGAATGTAAGTATATGTAAAGGGGATCTTTGTTTACAGGTGGAAGACAAGTTTGCATAAGACCTAGAGGAGAGACTGTATGGCTCGATTTTAGATCTGTGGCTATAACCAGTAAAATTGTGGCTGGTCTTCCCTGGTTACCAGAGGCTGAAGCACCCTAAAGATCTTCTTAAGCTGCCAGCTGAGCTCTGCCACCCAAAGGTTTCCTGTTTTTGGTAAAGAACCCCTCGGGTAGGTGCTACCACCCCACTCCAAGAAAAATACATTTTTCTGTTCCAGTGCTCCCAACTCCATGTTCCCATCAAAAAATCTTAGGCTCTCCAAGCAGCTGCTTTGTCTTCCTGAGCCTCTGAATGGAAAGAAACGGCTCTGCAGAGAAGAATGGCAGGAATGCACTGACTGGCTCAGCTGCAGGAGAACAGGGTAAGGCTGCATGCAGGGAGCAGCCATCATCCTAAAGCATATTTCTACCTGGCCGTTGCAATGCTGTGCCTTGCCTTGCCCAAGAAGAAAAAAAAATAGAGCGTCTGCAGTCTACCTGTCCCAAAACACTACAGCATGGCAATCACAGGCAGCCCCATGAAGCACAGCTGCACCATCCCTGCCTCTCCCCAGAATGGCTCTGATGTGCTCACAGTAATTCCCTTCTGCACAACTCCTGAGTTTTAATAGCTTTCACTTTCAAGGATCATCTGCCATCAAATGTACCCACTCAGCTGCCATTTTCCAAGCAAAAAAGCTCCCCACTCTGCAAGCACCTCCCAGGCCCACTATGACAGGCTCAAGTAGCATTTGGATGGCTAGCAGGCAAACGTCACCTTGCTACTGTGGCCAGGGCAGTGCATAAGGAGAAGCTAAGGATGCATCGCTGAGCATATACATAAACTCTTTCTCCTTGTAGAAGACTATTTGTCTTTTTCTACAAGCCATTACTTTCTCCCTTTCTCCTAAGGATCCTTAGGAGCAGCTCAGCCTGCAGAAGAAAGTGGAACCACTTGGGTTTTATGATGTTGGCCAGGACTTTGGGCAAGGTGCAAGACCCATGGGAAAAAGATAAATGCATTCCCTGTGGGTAACACCTTTCTGATGTGAAGAAAGAAAAATACAAGAAGACTTAGAAGAGAGCAGCACACATATGCAAAACACATGCATAAAACTCATCTGTTGGTCAGCCAAGGTTATAATCTCCCTTATATTTAGCACAGAGTGAGGAGAGGGATGGTGTTCAATAGCAATGGGTACGGCTCCATCTGTGAACAAGCTCCTCCTTTTTACCTTCCCACATTACCAGGACAGTTGACCATTCTTTTCACTTTCTGTCCCAAACAAGTTGCCTCCAGCACCTCCTTCTGGTGCCACGGTGTCCTGCAGATTTGAAGGGGAGGGCTGGGAAATAGTTCAGCCCTAAAGGATGATGAAGTTGGACCTACTGCATCAAAACAGCCTTGCTAAGACTACGGAGCAGGAATTGGCAATATTTGGAAAGTACTTCAGCCCCACTTCTCTCTGAAAATAAGCCCTGCTTTCTCCTGGCATTGGATGTTCCTCATTTTGGTCCTTTCTGGAGCCTTTAAAAGTGAGAGCTGGACCCACTTGTCCCTCCCCACCACAAGGATGGAGAGACCCAAGGCTGGGAATTCTTCCAGCCAGTGCTATCTCTTAAACCCCATTGAGTCCTAAGTGCTGGAAGTAACACCTCAAATGATTATCTCAAGGGTTTTTTTTTTTTCTTTAGTATGTAGATTTTTTCCATTATCAGTAAGAAGCACTAAGAAGAAGCTCTTGTAAGGAGAGTGCAACTGCTCCAGCCTGCCCTAGGAAATCTTCCCAGTATAAGGATCATTTGGAGCAAATAAAGTGCATGAGAAAAATACCCCAAGGTCTAATAATGGTACCAAAAAAAGGCATGCTGCAAAGACAAGAAGGAATAATAATGTGCTGTACCGTAATTGGTAAAACATTTAGCTTTTTATATCACATTAGGGGCATACTTAATAATGCACAAATGAATGCTGGTGTCATGCACAGCAAATTGATGAGCCCTGGTAAGTGTAAAACCACACAGAATTACCCATGCAATACAGTAGGGCAGTTTCAGCCCTCCCTCCCTTTTCACACACACACGTGGGTGCCATAATCAGACCTAAGATTCAAGTTTCCTGTTCTTCATGGGCAAAGGATGTATTGGAAAGATAGGGCACAACTCTTCGATTCTTGTTTTTCAGTGTCACAGCCAGGCGGCTGTAGAGCCAAAACAGTAGAGGACCATTTATAGGAGCAACACCAGCTTTATGTCTACGTGACAAATTCAGTTATTCCCAGTATTCAACACAATACAAAGCCTCTCCCATTGGAACAAGAAGTTCCTCTGGCTTCCTTCTCTCTGCTGTGTCCCCTGTTCACACCTTCCTAGCCTATGTGTCCAGAAACCACAGACCCAGCATCTGGCATGCTTCAGCTGAAAAGTGTCTCTGAAACACACGATGGCAAAGAAAGCTGGATTTTCAACAGCTTGCCCCATCAGATGTCCGTGGTGGTGGCAGTGGGTCTCCCTCCCCTTCCTTCAGTGCCACTCATGGGTCCCTGTTGGGTAGGAGAGGATACCAGGTAGCACCTCCTTAGATGAAGCTTTCGGAACTGGGCTTTCTCCAGGAGGAAGCAAACACATTTTCACACACTCTTGAGACTATAGACAGCAAGTGAGGATCTCTGTCCCTCCAGTCCCTGAACAGCTCCAGGAGGTTTTTCCCCACTTGCCAGGAAGTGAGGCCAGACCTAGGCATATCTCACTACAGGCTGGGGTAAGCTTCAAAATGATTCAGCTTCCTTAAGAAGTCTCGTGTTAAGCTCATGTTAAATAGCAACTTGTTCTGAAAAACACCAAAGTAAATTCCTGGTGCTCCTTTGCATTTGTTACGATTAGACACTGACTATGCCCCTGCTTTTCTCAGCAGTCCCAGTGTCCCTACTATGTAGAGCAAAAGCAGCATTTAGGCAAGGAGAGCCCTACCAATGTTGTTTTCTTGCTTTCAGCCTTAAGCTACCAGCAAACGATCCAAGGGACCAATTAAACAAAGTGCAGGGAAAAAGATCTTGGATCAGGTCTTGGAGCCCTGATATCCAGGATATCAAGGAGGAGAAGT